TTCGAAGCAAAGCGCACAATGCGAATGACTTTATTGACTTTGACCAGAAAACTGCTTGTAAGGAAGGAGCTTCCAACAGGATGATATTATAGGAAAATGGGGATTTTAAAAAGTAGACAATCCAATGCTACCCAGCGTATAGTAACTGGTTAACTGGTTTTTGAAAGGCCAAATTTGTAGTGTTGTGAACGAACCACACGAGAATTTCGAAATTTAAAAGCATTAACTTACTTTTTTCTTACTTTGTTTGTTTAAAAATTTATTTCCCTTTTTTTTGATATTTCTCTCTATAGTATTTTGTATTAATTTTTTTGTTATTATTTTTTTTTTATTCTTTGCAAGCAAAAAAGAATGCACCTGCCTATGAAGCACCTTTTAAGCACACCACCTGCACATATTTACAAAAAAAAAAAAGTTCAACCCTTTGGAATGATAACTTTGCCTATAGTGAATATCCCAAGAAGAATTCCAACTTCCTTAACCCATAAAATAAAAAATAAAAAATTGAAAGTAACGTAGTTGACACCAAAGAATATTTAGCATGAATATTAAATAAAGTATTATTCTCAATTAATTAACTACTAAATACCCTATGATACAAACTTACAGTCACACCCTCTACCAGTCGTAACCCATCATTTACCATCTGCATTTAGATCCAAATAAACGTCTCTCTCTCTCTCTCTCCCTATTTCGCTCTCGCTTAAGAGAGATGTCCTATATACAACACTACCTACAAAAAGTGTCGTTCTTCATTGTAGTGACGTATATAGCTAAGTCGTTCATCCACCAAACCAACCCATCCATATAACGTCCCTTCACTCCGTTTGTGAAAAGTAAATTTTTACTATAGGCCCTGGGTACACGCGTGCGCGCTTCGCTATTTTGTTAACAAAAAAAAAAAAAAAAAAAAAAAAAAAACAAATTAATTAAGTAAATAGCAATTGATTTGCTGCTTGAATTGCGTAGTGTATAAGCAAGCTACAAGTAAAAACAAACCAAAATTAAACAAGTATATGAAATATTAACAAAAACAAAAGAAAAAGAATCGGTTACAGCTTGTTGGCAAGTTGTTGTAATGGTAAACGTATTTGCGTAACTTATTTTAAGTGATATGAACGAACCATAGATTCCTCACAATACAAAAAGCACTGAATATTTGACTTCTAATTTTTTCCAAAACAACAAAGTACACATTTTAATGTTGTTGTTATTAAATTATTAATCTAACACTAAGAGCGAAATTCAAAAGCAAATTTTATGTTAAAAAAAAAAACAACAAAATTAAACAATAATTGAGAAAAATAAATTCACACACACAGAGAAAAATAATTGGTTTAAAAAATATCCAAAATTAAAAAAAAAATGATGATGTTTTTTCGTTCATCAAAGATGTGGAAAATGTGGTTTTGGTTTTAATGCATACTATATATATGTATTTTAATATATTTTAATTTTTAGTATTTTATCTATATGTATTTAAGCTAATTTTTATATTTATATTTGTAAATCATAAATTTGTGCTATTTTTATTTGTGGTAATTTAAGTTATACATACATTTCTTACTTTAATCTTTTGCTACACGCTGTCGTGCTAACATAAACACTCTCCCTACTCGTTGTTGTAATTTTACCAAGTCACATAATTACATATTCACATATAAAAATAAAAATAATAATAATTTTCATTTCACTTTTAATAAGTAATTATACATCTTATTTTGCATTTTCAACGCAGACCCTACGCATTTCATACAACTGAACTTTTGGAACACTACACACACGCAAAACTCTCTCTTAACCGACCCAAAGCATTACATACAACTGAACTTGTGAAACACAGAAATGACGCAGAACTCTCTCACTGGATCCCTAATTTAATTTTTTTTCTGAAGTATACAAAATTTTGTTTTTTTTTTTTTCAACGCATTTCATACAACTGAACTTGTGAAACACTGAAATGACGCAGAACTCTCTCACTGGATCCCTAATTTAATTTTTTTCTGAAGTATACAAAATTTTGTTTTTTTTTTCAACGCATTTCATACTACTGAACTTGTGAAATGACGCAAAACGCTGTCTTAACCGATCCCGAATTTTATTTTCACTCATTTATATGCACAGTCAGAAGACTATACTTTCAACGCAGACCCAACGCATTTCATTCAACTGAACTTATGAAACACTGAATTGACGCAAAACTCTCTCACTGGATCCCTTTCATTTTCATTTTCACTTTCTGAACTATACAAAATTTTGTTTTTTTCAACGCAGACCCAACGCATTTCATAAAACTGAACTTATGAAACACTGAAATGACGCGAATTTTATTTTCACTTTCTGAAGTATACAAATTTTTTTATTTATTTTTAACGTGGACTCAACGTATTTCATAAAACTGAAGTGTTTCACAATAAACTAACTTAAAGCTCTCTCACATCATTACACTCTACTGCTCACTCATTCGATCTTGAGTATAATTTTACTCATAAAAATTTCTTTGTTGAAAATTAAATTATATTTTTCTTATAGTTAAGTTGAGTTGAATTGATGCAGATGCTGATCATGCATAAATCGCACGTTATTTCAATATACATGCCTTACCTTTTAAATCATCTTAATCAAGCATAATTTTTTTTACACATTTTTTTTACACATTTTTCAATACATTTAACATTTCGCTGTTTTCTCTCACCGTATAACCCGCTCTCTCTCTCTCTATCTCTGTCTTACTGTCTATCTATGTAACTATCTCTCTCTCGCTTTGTTTCTCTCACTCGTGCCACAATTTTATACCATTTTATATTGAAATTTACATATTTATTACAAATTTCATGCCAAATTCATCTAATCGAGCAAAAAGAAGAACGAAAAAGATTATTATTAAATATTTAATTTGAAAAACAAAAAATATATGCTCATAATTTTTTAAATAAATTTTAATGCCAATTTAACGAATTACACTTACAAAGAGCAAAGTGAAACGATAGTGAAAAAAATGTGTTGGATGTGTTTCTTCTCTCCCTTGCCCCAAAAAACAACAAACACATGAGACCAGTCGCCGTCGCTTGCAAGCGAGAGAAAAAATACTTTCGTGCACATTTTTTTTAATTCGTAAAAATACTTTAAAAAAACAAAATTGAAATAGAAAATTAATTTTTGAGCTTTGAGAGAAACAAGCAATAAATATTTTCAATTAAATCAACACGCTAGAAATAATGCGAAATTTTCAAAAAAAATAAAAATAAATAAAAATCACTGAAAGCGAAGAAAAAGAAGAAAAGTGCTTTTTCACATACGATGCCAATGGTCTGACTTAAATTTTTTCATCATGTACCACCATCGCAACCATGTGCAAACCAAACCAAACCAAATCAGCCAAGCAACCAACCAGCAACAGCGTATATGTATGTATATAATTACGAAATAATACAACTATATGCTACATAATACTTATACATATATAATATTATTAAAAAAAAAGAACAAAAAAATAGAGTAAGAAGCAATTAAAAATTCAGCTACGAATGCCACGAAAAAAAATAGTTTAAAAGCTTCATACCAATGCGCTTCAAAGCTGCAAAAGCTTTGCAATAACAGGCGAAAGCTTTCTAAGCCAAAAACATACACTGAAAAACTACAGTTACACACAAACAGACGCTTACATTTATTATACTCACACATATGCTAAATCACCAATACATATAAACAATCACACGTACATACATACATACATACATACTTACATACATACATAGTTACATTTGTTAAAATCAACACACATACACACAAAATAAGCAGGAATTTTTGCGGTTGAAAATAAAATAACTTCACGAGCTTTCAATGCGAACAACAACAATAGCCGACAAAGGACTACCACAAGCCAGCAAAAGTATACACACACACACACAACAGCAAGAACAAGCAGCTGCTAATTTTCGGAAGCTGAAGAAGTGAAAGCTGCGAAGAGCGCAAGCAAAAAGCTCAATAAATTAAAGCTGGAAAGGGCAAAAGCTTTCTCAACGGAAGCTTTCATAAACAGCTAGCTGTAAGCTTTTAAATTTTTAAGTAATTCAAGAGAAAAAAATAGTATTGAAAAAATGTCAAATTAAAATATTAAATTTTATTAGCGTTTTCGGTTTTTCTTTTTCTATTTGTATTCAAAAAATATCAATTTATTTATGAAAAATTTAATTGAAAAAGACCAGCTGTAAGTTTGAAAATGTGTTTGAAAGCTCAATATGTGAAAGCTCTGAAGCACGCAGGCGAAAAAGACACTAGGTGAAAGCTGCAAAGGCTAAAGCTTTCAAATTGGATAAAAAAATGAAAATGTCTACGGTAGGAAAAAAGAAATTAATAATAAATCAAATTAAAATCGTAAACCGTTGCAACAAAACATTTATGTAATTAGTAAAACTTGAACTGAAAAAAAAACATTTTAAATTTTTATTGTTTGTGATATTTTATTGCTTTGCATTAGCTGACAATAAATACAAAAAAAAAAATCAGATATTTGGTTAAAAATTTACATATTGAATTTGAAATGAACACTTGTAATTATTTCCATATACTGTAGAGCTTAATTTTCATTCTGAAAGCTCTGCACAATTACTACTAAAATTTAAGCTTTTACCAACATTGATTCTAAAGCTCTTAAGTCAATTTATCTCTTCTTTCTACGTTAAACCAAAATACATATTTACTGGTGAATAAAGGAAAGAAGATTATAATATTAGTGTTATTTCAACATAAAGCACAATTTGTTGTTAGTGTTTTTTTTGTATTTGAATACAAAAGCTTCTTCAACTGTACGAAAATCGTATCGAATTGGTTAACGCAAACTTTAACTTTTTTAAACTTTTTTCAAGTATGTTTTTTAGCCCAGCTTTCATCTTACTGTATCTTGCTGAACATTTATAGCTACGCAAGCTTTTACGCTTTCGAGCTTACAGATTTTTACAAAACTCATTAAAGCAAAAGGAAAAGCTTCAACTTTTTTCTTTCCGATTCGCTTTTAATGTGTATAAAATTCGTTAAATTACAAAGTTTTAATGCTTTTTTTGACATTTTAAGGTTATGTGCATTTTTTAGCTCAATAGCGAAGCAAATAATTTAAAAAAAAATTAATAAATAATACACTTTCCACGAAGCGCAATACAACGTTTAAGTAATTGAAAGCTATACAAATCTTCAATACGCGTTTTTTTTTTTTAAATAAACTTAAAATAAATTAAAAGCGTAAGCTAGAAAAATTAGAGCCAATACATAAGACATTTGTATTTTCGTACAATTATTGAAAGTTTTCAAATTTCAAAATAAAGCTTTCATGCGTGCTTAATATTTTCTAAAACTTCCAACAGATTTCTAGCCATGAAAAAAAAAAAATTATTTAATTATCAATGATTAAATAATTTGTAAGTTCTACTTATTGAGAAAATTATACATAAGTTAATTTAATATTAAATGTAGACGTTATGAGAATTTGTTATTTAATTAATAATAATAGTAATAGTTTTAAAGAAATTATCAGAAGTGTTTGCATATTGAAAAAGACAAATAAATATTAATATAAATCAGCTTAATTTTATAATGTGAGAAAAAAACAAAATTCAATTATAAAAATCCATGTACTGCATATTGTTGACGTACATAAACCACAAAGTACCATGAAAATTATTATAAATATACATACTATACCTTATTAGCTAAGCCTCAACGCAACACTATTTTAAATAATAAAATCCTCACGAGCAAACATTTATCTATATGAAAATATCTTAAATACAATACAATATGCATACAAAACTTAAAAATGAAATGCACCCTTAAATAAAGCTAAAAATGTAAAATAACTACAATAACAAAAAAGATATTTAAAACCGTATTGTTTGTTGAGGAGTAATGAAATTAATCTCATAAATATTCAATACACTTGATTGTACTACATACAAATATATCCGATAAGTGTTTTGTGTCCAAAACAAAAAAAAGTAGTATCAAATACAATAAAGAAGTTGTAATGAAATATTGAAAGAAGCTGCTTTAATTACACTTATTCGGAACAGTGTTTAAATGCCTGGCAGTAAGTATTGGAAATTCCTAAAGCTGTTCTTTTTACTTTAATTTTTTTCCGTTTCCTTTATTTATTCAGTAACAAATAATAGCAATTTACATACACGGCTTAATACTAAGATTAACAACTAATTTGCAGATTCTTGACTCATATTAAGCATAGACATGTCAGCACTGGAGTCGGCGATATGATATGACGAATCTTGCGCTAATTCCATGTCGTCGTCGCAAAGCATTTTGCGCATGCGCTCTTTGTAGCTATAATTATGGCGAAAAAAAATAAAGCGAAAACGAATAATTAAAAAAGTGTTTGGCCAAAAATACTAAGTAAACAAAACACTTACACCTGGCTGTCGGGGTTGTTTTCTTGATTGCGACATTTTTCCAACTTCTTTTCAATCAGTTTTACTTTTTCTTTCGCCGGAAGTTCGTATGTTTTCACCATGTAGCGTATTTCTACAAATGCAAAATGAATTTATTAAAACAAATACATTTACTTGTGATTACCAAATTTTAACTTACTGCGCACGGCCTCTATTAGAACCGGCAATTTATCACGTGCAGCCAAAAATAGGTTTTCGGTTACGTAGCTATCTAAGTTTTCCTGCTCTTTACTAGCCGCATGCAGCACAGCTGCTAATGCAATCTAATGAAAAATGTGCATAAACATAAAAATTCATCTTATTTCTACGATTTCACTTACCTGAGATGGCGCATATAGCAGACAGGCATCGGTGAAGAAAGTCTTTTCTATAAACTCATCTATGTGTGGCCTAAGACGCTCAGGATTTGACATACCACTGCGAGTCTGAAAGTAAGCATAAACTATTACTACTATTACAACTGCAATAACTACCAAAAAGACACTGTACAAATTTCAATTGTCAAACCTTGATATCAATGAGAAATCCCTCAATTGGCCGATATGGATTGTGCACTGTGAGGTAGTAATTTAGTTGCTGCATCATAAGTAATTCATTTGAGAGTATAATGTCCATTGCCTTATTGCGATCACCCTTTATATTGCTCACAAACTGGCCGATTGAGACATTGAATTCTTCAACTTTGCACGCTAAATAAACACACGTGGCACTGCAATAAGGATTGTACAAATTAAACTTTCCTCCAAACGCTTTTATTAAAACTTACAGTATCTCCTTTGGATGATAATCCATAGGGGTGTTGTTCAAATAGAAACGTTTAAAGTAATGGAAAGCCGTGCCTACAACACATTTTGGCATTGGTGGCTCAAAACGTCGACAGAAGTCATTTAAATATAACTCATACTGTTTCAGCAATATACGTTCTTCAATGGACGACAGGAAGAAATCATCACGTTGCTCCTGCTACAAAATTATAAAGCCGTCGTATGGTTAAAAATTATTTGATTAACAAACGTATTGTACTTACATTCATATCAGAACCGTGTGTATTGATATATGTGACATTTTGTTGCAATCTCAAAGAATTAAGCTGCTGTTCGTTTGAAAAAGTCCAGAATTTCTTTTGCGAACTCTGTGGAAACATTTCGTCAAACGGATAAAATTTATTTATGCTGCTTCCTCTTCCCTCATATGATGGTCACAATTGTATGCACCAGCACAGCGTGCCTCATATGATTTGAAAATAGCCAATTGGAAATTAGTATGCTTATTTTGCAACAGTTAAATTTGAATTTTTAAAAATTTTAATGGTCAAATAAAGCGCTTTGATTAAAGTATTGAATTAAACATTATTTTCACTGTTTTTTTTCCCTTAACACCTGGTGAGTATTTCATCATGAAGTAGGAGTAGTAAAATTATTGAGTTATTTACAAGAAATATATATCAAATTTTAATAAACGATTATCTTTTTCAGAACTTAAAAGTTTTTCACGAACTGAATCGTTAAAACGACTTTATATTTTATCTAGACCAAAAAATTAATCAGAAAATACACTTCTTTCAAATCAGAAAATATTAAACAAACAGAACATTGAAAAAATTCTAAAATTTAATGAACTAAAAATTCAAAAAAAAAAAAAAATTATTATTCTGCATCTTTCTGACATACTAACAAAATTCCTAGTCACTTAAATGGGCACAAACTTCCAGTATATACCATGCTCTCTACAAGATGAGCTCAGACGCATCGCCAATGCAATACTTGTGCCTGGAAAAGGTATATTGGCAACCGATGAATCACCCAACTCGATGGATAAAAAATTTGCACCCTACTGCATACCAAATACTGAAGAAAATCGTCGTCTATATCGTCAAGTTCTGTTTACAACCGAAAATCTGCAGGAATACATCTCGGGTGTCATTCTACACAACGAAACTCTATATCAAAAAGCGGATAACGGAAAGACATTTGGCGATTTGTTACGACATCGTGGCATAATCATTGGTATAAAAGTCGATAAAGGCATTGTACCGTTGCCGGGCTCGTTGGACGAAAGCACCACAGAGGGTCTGGATGACCTTTATTGTCGTTGTGGCAAATACAAACGCGATGGTTGTGACTTTGCTAAATGGCGTTGTGTTTTGAAAATCGGCAAACACACGCCCTCCTATCAAGCAATTGTGGAGAATACGAATGTGCTTGCACGTTACGCATCCATATGCCAGTCGCAGGGTATTGTGCCGATTGTGGAGCCAGAAGTGCTAGTTGACGGTGAACATGATATCATCAAAGCACAGAAAGTAAGATTTCAATATTTGTGAAAGTTTTCTATGACTTTAATTCATCTTTTCTTCGCCAAAATAAGGTAACGGAAACAGTTTTGGCTGCTCAATACAAAGCCCTAAATGATCATCACGTCTTCTTGGAGGGTACTTTGCTGAAACCGAATATGATTACGCCTGGACAAAATTGCACCCGAAAGAACTCACCTGAAGAGGTTGCCTACGTAACTGTGCAAGCTTTTCTGAGGACTATACCAGCTGCGGTGCCAGGTTTGTAGAAAACGATTTATAAAATTTCCTATATCGAACTATAGATTAAATTTCCTCGAAGTCTGAAATTTGAGGAACAATTTAGTCTTGCTTGAAGGTAGTAGAAATAACGGCAGCGCAAAAAACTGCTCGGCTGCAGTCGGAAGATTACTTAAACTACCTCCAATCGATACTGCAGCGAGATCCAAACTGGTATTGGAAGCCTGGGGTGAATTTCCTACCAGAACCTTCGGGCATGGCTGAATATGCAAGAAAATGGTAGACGAAATGAACCACATACCATCACGTTTTATCTGATAGAGAAGGTTTCAAGCCACATTAAACGGCAATGAACGTTGCGGCCGGACAGCGGAAATAAAAAAATTCATCTTTACTTCACGTTTTTCATTGCCGTAGCCAGTTTAGTCAAGTGTAACCAGGTTGAGCTCCACGTGATCCTTTCAACAGAGTGAACGAGTTCAGTTTCCTCTACTTCCACTTATGGGTATTGTATCGAATACGCCAGCGCCGTATATTTCATTGCACAAACTACCATAAAATTTCCGCAAATCTTTTCACTCAAAGACTCTCAAGGTCAATTCATTGGACATCGACATGGTTCACGGCTTCGCACCATATAGCAGGACCGGAATGATGGACGTCTTGAAGGGTTTTTAATGGATCAAAAATGGCTAATGGAGCACGCACCGACCTAGATCTCAGCAACCCAACTCTTCAAGCTACCGAAATATTGTAGTTTTTCTAGGTAACAGAGAAAGCCGCTCAGCAAATGTTTTATGATTAGGATTTGAAAGTATGCACTTGATTGGGAAGGTGCCGCTGCTCAGATAGTTGATGTCATCGAAGAAATAAAGGTCGTCAACAACAACACAAGATTGATTCGAAGTCCAAAAGCTGCAATCACAACAGACAATCGAACGGTTTTGTATTCGATTTGCACAGCAGCCTTCTAAGAGATTTCATCAGCAACTCGATATAAGGGAACTGTGGAAGGGCCTTTCTGAGCCGTTCAATTCCAAACGAGGTTTCAGACTCTTTATTACAATCACCACGCTGTTAGCTCTGCCTTCTCCAATTCATCACAGAACCACTTGGCGCTTTTACGGCTAGGATCTTACGCCACTGCTAACAGTCATAACTTCGAGGTCGTAGATACTTTCGATTATTAGGGACCATCATTAGCACAACCTTGGAATCCAACGCAGACAGACTCTTGCCAACAGGTGCTACTTTGGCAGAGCAGACAATTGAAAAATAAAATCCTCTCTCAATGAACCAAAACTAAACTCTACGATTCTTTCATGATTCTCATCATACTTTGTAGTGCAGAAGCGTGGACGATGACGACTCCGGATGAGTTGGCTCTGGAAGCCCTGGAGAGAAAAGTTTTGCGAACGATTTATGGTCCTTTGCCCATTGGCTACGGCGAATTTCGCGGAACATGGAACATTGAACGGCAGCGAAGCAGACGAAAAGTAGAGTGGAGGGAGCTGGAGACTTAGTTTCAGCTGGCACCTAACAACGAATAGAAGAACCGATTGGCTATATTTAGAGGTTATAATCGCGTAACCGATGCCGACGCACATTAAGATGAAGAATAAATCCAAGCTTTAGAGCTACCATATTGAAAGAGAGCACTACAAATGGGTTTCGCTACTGTTAGATATTTATAATAGCGATTAAAAGACAGAATTCGGAGATAATATCAAAAGTCTATAATTAATTTATAATCATAACTATTTTCAGGAATCGTCTTCCTTTCCGGCGGTCAATCGGAGGAAGAGGCTACGGTAAATTTAAATGCTATTAATAATGTCAATTTAAAACATCCCTGGGAACTGACATTCTCTTATGGACGTGCGCTACAAGAGTCCGCTATGGCAGCTTATGCCGGCAAAAAAGAAAACATTCCACAAGCCCAAATTGAACTTCTAAAGCGAGCTAAGGTGAGGGCTCATAAATTCATCGTAAAGACGGCGAAAAATAATATTTCCTTTCTTTCTCCTACAGGCCAACTCTCTCGCAAGAGCTGGAAAATACATAGCAGGCTCTATACCGCCCTTTAAAAACGAGCAAAATCTATTTTTTGCTGATCATAAATATTGAGAATCCTTTTACCAAAATTGTATGAATAAAAATGGATGTCTTGAACACTAAATTAATGCACAAAAAGAAGTAAAGAGAAGCAAGAACCTATAATTGCTTGTGGAGCTTGCAATCATCATAAATGAGGGCTTTGTTTGGGGGGACGGGTAAAATCTCCTTATATACCGCACACGGTATAGCCAACCTACTGCTCATGTTTACTATTAGTTATAAATACGTTGCTCCTCGTCCATTCTTCAGGAATCTCTAATCGAGGCTGCCTTGGCTGATTGAGACTCTTCACTCCCTTTTTCACACAAATTGATCCTTTGAAATTCCTTCAGCTGTTTTAGTGATCAAATAATGGTTCTACATCTTCTTGCAGGTGAACTACAGAATCGAGAACCTTCTCCATCTGGAACTTTTCCTTGCAAAAGATCACTAGAAGTACTAATCTTAGTAAAACAAAAGAACCCCTCGAATAGTTTTATAAATTTATTTAAAAAGTATCTATGCAAACAAATAATCCTCCTCAGGCCTGCGATTCATCCGGATCTTCACTCGCATACGGATTATCTGCCTTATCCTTGACTCTACGTAATGTTATACCCAACTTAAGTTCCGAAAGGAAGTCTGTGGCTGGCGGTTTGCGCTCCGTCCGTGGCTTGACACCACTAATAGTGGCGGCTTTTTGATCGACTTTCTGCGAAATTCAGAAAAAAGTCAAGTCATATTAGTTCTCTCTTTCGAAACTGCATACAATACTATAAGTTACCTTTAGGGTTATGCCGTTCCGAATACTATCCAGAAGAGCCCCACGTGCATCACCATTATCGGCACTTATCATTGCAGGTGCCGATGGACCTCTAGTACCTTTTGCCGTGGGATTTTGCATGGGCGGCGGTAGAGGTGGTATTGGACTGCCCGAAGAAGAAGATAGTGGCAATGGTGGTTTTGGCATACTATTAATTGGTGGAGGCGGTGGTGGAATAGGTATGCCACTAGCAGGTGGCGGCGGTGGTGGCGGTGCGATAGGCACAGCACTAGCTGGTATAGGTGGTGTTGGTTTTGCAGACACACTTCTAGAAACATTCTGTGGCGCTGGTGGTGGTGGAGGAGGTGTGAAAGTAGAAACTGGCTGAGCTTTTACAAGAAATTGTGGTTTGGGCATAGGCTTTGGTGGTGTTGGTGGGGGAGTTAACTGCTTTTTATTGCCAACACGTGCATATGATCTGCCGCCATTATCTTTGTTTATCGTGGCGTACAGATGATTGTCGACCGATGGTGGTGCTGTTAAGTCAGGTGCTGATGCCATACCATTGAGACTTGTAGCTGTTCCTACATATAACCCTTCACTCTCGCACTCATCCAAACTGTACAAACTCTGATTAGAATGGTAGATGACGGATGATTTTTTGTTATCAGCCTTTACTAGAGACGGTGGCGGTGGTGTTGGTGCATCGACGATTGGCTTCGGTTTCACGGTAGGTGGTAGCGGTGATTGTCTTAAAGTCTGCCTTGGATATGAATAATCGTCTTCCATCTCAGTGTTGCTGCTGTAAATATCCTCAATGGAAGGAAAGTCAGATGGGTCAGCGAAACGCAAAGCCAAAGAATTAAAACCGGATAGCGTATTCTGAGTAGTTGTTGGTTGCCCAATTGGACTTGGTGCTTTTGGAGGCTGTGATGGAGTTGTAGTTGGGTTTCGATTAGATTCGGCTGTTTCAGCTGTTGCTGTTGTTGTTGTTGTTGAAGCTGGTGGTGGAGGTGGCGGTGGCGGCGCATGCATTGGCTTTCTGGCACGTGAGAATCTTGGTGATTCGCTTAGTGTGTACTCACTGCCAGTGGAAATTGTAGCGTACATTACATTAGGCGGTGGCCTGCTGGCCGTATCATTATTGCTGCGTTTAGGTGGCTGTAAATGCACCATAAAATTAAAAATCATAACATTAATAGTTGGTTCCGTAGTCTTACCATCCAAGTGAACTTTGATTGCACAATATTTTTAATAATTTCTTCTTTACGCACGCCTCTCAAGTCCTCCTCCGTAATGCCCCGTTCCAGCATGTACTTCCTTAAAACGTTATCGTTCGTAGTCAAGGTGAGATCGAAGGCATTCCGCGTACGGTCTCGTGTCATATCTCCGGCAACGTGTTGAAAGTTCATCGGCCCGCTTATCTCATATTTGGAACCCTTAATGCTGGTCACAAAGGTCGAGGGTGAAGGTGGTGTGGGTGGTTGCGGTTCGAAACGTCGCGGCACAATGGGACTACTATTGTCCAAACTTTTTAGGCTGTTATTGGATGAAGATGTGCTTATGGTGGCATAGCTTAGTGTTGTGGACACTGCTGAGTTGTTGGTCCGAAGTGTGCTGGTTGCTGTGTTGGTTTTGCGTATAGGTGGTGGGGGTGGTGTGCGGCGGATGGTTGTAGGAGTGTTTGATAAGTTTAAAGGTGATGCTGAAGTCATTGTGGAGGGCTAGAAATGAGAGAAAAGTTATGTCGTTCGATAAGTTTCGGCGGATGTATGACAAATATTGGATTTAAAGAGAAATATTTATTTATTCATCGGTTTTGTAGTTTATTTGACTTTTATCTGTAAACTTGATTTAGTACACATTTAAGCCCACTGATCTTAAGACCTAACGATCTACAGAGTTATTTATGCATGCAAGGATCTGGAACTCTAAATAAGTATAATAGTTCGCGCTAAGACTAGAAGAGGTTAGTAAAATTAGAAATAAGAATGTTCTTTTTACCAGAAAAATCGTATTTTTGAGGCATTAAAGCGCTGAAGTACCAACTAGAATTCTTGAATTGGCCAAGCTTTCCTCAACAACACTTTCTCTTATCATGAATCTCTTAAGACAGGCCTCTTATTATGAGTGCTATCGACACACTACGGCTTCTATTCTAACCAATTGGAATCCCTTATGAACTGGATTACATTGGAAGTTTGATAGTGGAGCTTTCGCCCTTAGCACCGCTTCGCTTGTACTCTGAGGCAGCGCTTCCAACGGGATTCCATAGAATTTCTTCAAGTTTTCTTGTTGCCGTGGAAACGTGCTAAGCTTTATTATCTTTTGCAGAGTAGACCGCCTTGACCGTGTGGACATTTCATTCGACGACTGGGCGCCGTCAGAACCGAAGAAGTGCGCAATATTCTAGCCGTCTGTTATGGGTAAGCAAAAACTTCCAAATCCTTCGGCGCCAATGGAACAATTAAGTTGATTCTATAATATCTGAGTCTAGCTAAAGCATAATTATTCACAGGGATTCACAATCTATCTCTGACCACTCTAACAATACCTTACATGACGAAACAGGGCACAACCAGCCTTGCTGGTTTTCTGAGGCTTGCTCTCACTTGAACTCAATTACGTACAAATAGTTACGAGCTGCTTCTCGCAACCAAAATTATACTGACACAATTAAGGTCTGAATTTTGTCGTAGACTCAATCTATCTATCTTGCAATGAACTCCGCACGACTCTATCGTCTATCAGCTCGTTTCCTGGATTTATCCTTAGAAGATCTTAACGATATATGTGACAGAAGAACTGCAACGCCTTTCAAGCTTAGCAATCTGTAATAATGGAAGCCAATATATTCTGACAGCTAAACTACCATTAAATCTTTTCATTGTAATTACACCATATTAAAGTTGGTAATAAGATGTGGGAAAATATTTAAAAAAAACCTCTTAACTGTATCAGAATCGAACGTAATTTGGTCCCGGACATAGTCACATACCAGGAAACTACAAGACCCACGATCTAGCAAGATTTGGGAATATCTCTTTCCACTGAAAAATATCTGCTATAATCGGCCTACATTGACAGGGTGGAACCACATGCAATGTAACCAGGTAGAACTGGCAGTTGATCGATACATAAAGAGCTCCATAAGTCTCAAGACCTTCTGAGCAGAACCTCCACGAGCAAAACAACCGGCGTAATTACCGGACGAGGGTTTATAGTGAAAGGTTGAGCTACTTCTTTTATGCAGAGACATAGACCAGGAAGATTCAGTAGAGCATTTTACCTCTGCCACTGTCCCGCCCTAAGTGCGGCTCGACAACTTTTCTAGATAATTTCTACTTTGAGTGTTTTGCTTATACAGCATCAGCAAGTGTCAGTGATATCGTTGGTTTCTAAAAACAAATCTAGACACATCTAGAAAGGTGAGAGAAATCTTTTCTATAGCCCGCACTGTAGGTATAACAAAGAATCAAAAGTGGCGCCCGATCAAGGGGCCCCATGATTGAGCAAATTTCAATAATTAAATAACTAACTATAGGCTAACATTTCCTGCCCCTAGGTGGGATTGAGTGAGCTATAGAGTTTCCAAAGTTAACGATGCGACCTAAATTCCACATCCATCAGCCAATTGTGTAAGAGAACAAAAGACCAGGTCAATATTAAAACTAAAAGGGCAATCTCATTTTGATAAAAATTTATTCCCAAGCTTTGTCCTTACCTTTATTTACAGCAATGTGCCTATAAACTGATTGACTCTGTAACTACCGAATGAGTTCTAAACAAATTTTGAGATAATCGCTGATATGCGGCGGCAATAAAAGTTTATCAGTTTTGATATGTGACCAGAAACTGAATAAATGACAATGAAATGTTTGGCTATAATTAAACCGGCAAAAAGTTGATTACTTTAGATTTATTTATCAGTGCACCTAAAGGGTGCGAAGCTTTTATCATGGTCATATGTTGGTTATGTTAGTACTCCTTTTTGAACCAAAAATTTATTGTTTAACAGCAAAATTGTATTTATTTACTTTTGATATATTTATTTAACTGACTCATGGTCTTTGTTCGACTTTTTCAGTGAATAACAAACTCTTTTGCCGAACAAATTTTGCTCACCTTAGGTTTCCAACAGGTTGGTTTTCTATAGTGTGACTACTTCAACTTAGTGCTGAAGGAAATGGTAATTGCTGGAGAGCTAAATGGACAAGGTGCAAACCGAAGCGAAGCGGATGGGTCTGGTAGTAAGGACAAACGAAATATCTCTGGTCATCAATGAAACGGTCATCGCACCCGCGACTCGACTCTTACCTCACTGTTGGTAGTTATAACATTAAAGTCGTAGATAATTTAGTCTATCTCGGCACCAGCATCAACACCAACCATGTTAGCCTTGAAATCCAGGGCATTAACACTCGTGTCATCAGGTTATACTTTGAACTTAGTAGGCAATTGAAAATTAAAGTTCTTTCTCGACCGAACGAAGAACATAGTCGTTCATCATTCCCGTCGTAGTATATATCTAAGAGCCTTAGCCGATGTCGGCACTAGTTTTAGAGGAGACGGACTTCTGGAAGATTACTAATCCTTTAGGTGTTGACAACGGCGATTACCGCAGATGATGGAAGGATGAGCTGTATTCTTATTCATCAGTGAAATAAGTGACAACGGCTTCGCTTGGTCATACTGACCGAATGGATGAAAGCACCCTAGCTTTCAGGTTAAAGCAGAGGAAGAGGAAGACATCCATTCCGTTGGTAGGATCAAGTGTGTAGCAAAAAACAGGTCCCTGTTCTTAACTCAACTATACTCGCATAAGCAGTGCCTATGTCAATGAAGAAAAAGAAGTTTATTGGTGAAAGTGAAATCGACGATTAAATTTTAAAATACCAAGTAGACTGTAAATTAATTCCAAGGCAACTTTGTTGTTTTTTATCACATCATAAAATGAATATAATTAAAAGAAGAAAAAAAATAACTTAAAAAATTAGTGCCCAGTACCTTAATACAATATGTACAATATATGTACAGTTGCTGTCAAAATAATAGTACCATTAAAGTTAAGGTCCCATAGTGCGGGAAATAAATAAATAAATCTCCGTTCATGACAGCTGCAGAAGTGAAAAAAGAATCAGAACTGCCGACAAGCACTGGGAGAATATGAAGGAGACTTAGAGAATATAATCTAAAAGCCCACAATCCAAGAAAAGTCCCTCTTTTTACAAATAAGTATGCGCCAAACGGTTGCAGTTTTCCAAAAATCACAAAGAAAAGTATTCTGTGGACGCATGAGTGTAACGTAGTTTTATTTGGAGGAAAGGGTTCTCGATGCCATGTTAGAAGACCACCAAATTTACCACAAAGACCGGAGGTTGCAATATCATGACATGGGGTTTGTACTAGGGTGTTGAGCCTATTCACCCTAGAAATACCATTATGGATGCAACAGGATACATCAAAATACTCAAGGAAGTAATGCTGTCTTATGCTTCCAAAAATATGCCACTGATTTCGGTCATACAACAAGACAATTACCCAAAGCACACCAGCAAAAAAGTTAAAAATTGGTTTCAGCACAATAATGTCCCTTTGTAGGAGTCGTGTGCATAGTCCACAGATTTAAACCTCATCGAAAATTTGTTAACTGATGTTAAGAAAAAAAAAAAAAAGAAAAGGTATCCGAGTTCAAACCGACTAACAGTAATGAACAAGGGTGACGCAACAAAATATTAAAACCAGTACCAGTACAAAATGATTTTATGAATCTAACTGGAACTCGTTTTTTATCATTATTTTTTTACATTTTGAATAAAATTACAAAACCTTCATTTGTAAATATAAGATTTCGTCACCTGTTTACAATCTGTTATACCAGTAGTGCTATTATTTTGACAGCAGGTGTACATAAGTGCTGTACATAAGACAGTCCAATTCTCCGAAAGTTTCAAATGACAAATCATTTTCTCGAATTTTTATATGTACTTTTGTGCGGACAACCAAAGTCCCTGGAATTTCCCTAGTAAGAATGACGAATTGGCAATAAAGACGAATCCAGAAGAGATATTAAACTAACCAATTATTGCATTCTTATATCTAGTATAGAGAAAGGCTGATACTTTAATATATGAGTGGAACGCGTAAGATTATACCTCTTCATGTTATGGGCACTCTCTTGGAGTAAATGGAAGTTGATAGCCTGGCTAGTGTATAACCTACAATTCATGACTAGTTTTGAAGATTATTGTGATGAAAGAAGGGCAGAGTTCGAGGTGTGGAAGTTTTCATAGGGGTCTATCCTATTTTTTGTGTACGATGAGATATGATTCGAACACTTCAATAACATCTGCTGCTAAAAGAGAAAGAGGCTTCTCTTGAGGCCAACTCTTCACCAGCCAAATCATTCACCATAGACCTAAACAGCTGGTACTTACTTGGTGCGAAGTCCGGACTATAAGATGGATGCATAAGACTATTTCCACTAGCTCTCGGAGCTTCTGGTGAGTCCCTATCGAAATTCAATTCTTCTTCAGTTGGTCAAACCTGGGCACTTCAAAGCGATTGTTTCTATTAAACGAACGAATTAAGAGTTTGGACGTAGGGGAACAGCTCATGAATATGATTCCTTACCAAACTCAGAACAAAATCTTCCGAGCCGTCAATCCCGTGTTGTATAACGGTCTTTTGTCAAAAATGTCGATGAAATAATGGAAATTATCGAGTCTGACCATCATGTGAATGCTGTTTCGATTGTCCAGGAGCGAAAAATTGCACAAAATAACACAAATTGGAGCCACATGAAAGGCACGAAGAAGCTCGATGTATGGGTTAACGGGAAAATATCTCAATAATCGAATGTCCATCTGTGAAACGCTGCTGAATCGTAAAAAAATAGACACGTTTCTTAAGCAGATGGGGACTGATGACGAAAAATGGATCGCCATCTAGCGTAATCCAATCGCACATACTATATAACGCGAGATACAGATCACTAGAGGCATCTATTTCAAAATTAATGGATAATATTTTACTAGACCAATGCAATACACTATAAATACATATAACACATAGGAGTACTGCTGCCACGTTTCAGCTAAGATAAAATTGCTTAACCTCAGCTCAATGACTATGGTCAACTAGTACATGCTCCTTAAACTGTTCAATAGAGTAAAGTAGAAAATAATCAAACAATTAAGCCACCACTCAAAATTACCATCCAATATCCTGGCATTTTATTGCTTTTGATGATGTCGTAAATGAAGGCTCGCCGTTGTTCTGGTGTTAAATATTCAATTTCATCCGACAATCCGGCCTTACGCAAATACAGACGCAACGTCTCATCCTCTCCAATGCCGTCAAGGGCAAAAGTACGTTTGAACTCCACAGATTCAGTGCCCTCCATATAATGGAAATCATCTGGAGCGCTTATATAATTCCTATCCATGTTAGTGGCGGTGCGTTAAGATGTCTTAAATATATGAAATAAATATAAATATATGTGGATACGAGTACATATTTGTGTAAAAATAAGAAAAACGAAAAAAATAGTTTCCATTCACTTGAAGTACATTTTCGTGGTATTGTATTGTACGTATGTATATATGTATGTTAGTATTAATTTCATTTTAAGACTTCAGTGATTAATGAAGGTATGCAAGTACAAAAAGTTTAATATGAAATTAAGATATATGTACATATCTATATACATATGTACATACAATGGTTATTTAAAAATATATAAATTTAGTTATACACGTATATGTTATCTAGAGTCCATCGATAAGGTTTTCACTTAATCAGCGCAAAAATTATTCACAAATAACACTGGTGAACACTCTCTTTGTCACACGAACTCTTTGTTGATCTTTGTTTATGTCTGTGTGTTATGTATAATTACATTCTTTTTTCAATAGTCATCATCATTATTGACCTTATAGACATACGAGGCATATCACGAAAGTAAGTACACTGAGCGAGGCTCTCACGACGTCGTGTTTGAAGCACGGTAGTGCATCCAGACTTTCCCCTTTGGCAATAAGTCCGGTTAGGGATCAATACCTTGAACTGGCGGCTTTCACGTTTCATGAACAATGTCAAACCAGTACCGCACCAAGTTATCTCGTTTTAATCGAATATTTGCCTCAAGTGAAGACCATCAACAATGCAAGGTACTTTGCGATCCTGACAAAATTACGCAGATCGACTCTGAGCAAGAGAAAAGGGATGCTAGCAAAAGGCGGCTAACAATCCAAAGGAACTTCTCGACTCGTCTTAATTGTATGCCCCGATCATAACCGTTCATTTCCCTTGTGTAGCGCCTTCAGAATGCTATCTCTTTACCTGCCTGAAGACGCACATGGGTGCTAAAAGGTTTCCAACCGACGAGATGGTAAGGTAGGAGGTGCAGGTGTAGACGAAGGAGTTAACGGAAGGCTACTTCGAGGAAAGCATAAAAAATTGATTTGCAGCTTCACCATCTGTACAGAGAAGACTGGCGACTTTGTCGAAAAATAGGTAACATTATGTACATTATGTAAGCATCACATAATTTTTTTTGTTGAAATACAAATTTTAAAAACGTACAAAAAATTTAGTACAGTGACTCTATGGATATGCCTCGTACGTGCCTTTCTTTAAATAACTTCCTTTAGGCGACGGACCACGACTTGATCTCTGCCAGTAGGCATCGCGTCCGTTAAACCACAACCTAGTTATTTGCCATTTTGTATACCAATGATTTGGACGGAATCAAAGGATCACATAAGTTATTTACTTGAAGGAATAAAATAAGCACGAAAGATATACGAATATAAAATTTTGTAGTAGAATCCACAACCCAAGTGTGTAAGTAATATTTGACGCCAGAGTAACGTAGAAAAGACACTTGGATTATGCGATAAGTAAATCGACGAGATCATTAATTGTATGTAGAAGACTAGCAAGGAAGAACTGCGTTTGAACTCAAACACAAACTCTACAAGACTCTCGGCAAAGGTGGACTTACCAATTCCGTCTTCTGGCAATGTGAGGTCTACTCTGAACCTTTTGCTATAAAACTATAAAACTAAGTAAAAGACTTCCTGACCATTTCAGCGTATTCCAAGCGAAACTAACCGCTATAACGAAACCCGCTTCATGGTTGCTTGTTTCTAATACTTTAACCGAATGATACCACCTCAAAGGTGGCAATAAAATGTAAAGAGATCTTGGACAAACTCTCTACTGTATGCGAAACGTCCGCAGTTTGGGTCGCTGGTCATGAGAACTGCGTAGCCGATGAACTGCCAAAAGGAGAACAGTTCCAACCATTGTAAACTCTGCACATGACGTGGACATAACACTCTTCTCGGCAAAGTATATACGATACTAAGACCAGCTTTCTGCAACAGCAGTTGGCAGAGCGAAACCACGTACAAGTTAAGTCTGGCCATTAATCGAGGTTAACAGAAGTAAGTCTATACTCCTTCTAATCCAGATCGCCAGCATAACAACCGGTGTAATCGGACACTGCTTTAACCAGAGGGAAGACTACATAAGTGACTGCACAGCTCTCAGTGCGGTTCGTTATCGTCCGCTTCCTTCCGCTATCAACGGTGACCGCGGTAGTCGAGTGGTTAGCATTGCGCACTGCCATTCGCAAGGCTCGGGTTCAAATCCCCGTGCTGCCAACATATAAAAGTTATAGAAAATTAATTTAAATAAAAAATTATTTTAAATTTTCTAATTACGGTCGCCCCTCAGGGAATGTCCATCCCTCCGTGTGAATTTCGGACATGAAATAAAGGCTGCTCATAAAAAACCATCAGCCGTTCAGACGCGGCTTAGTATAAACTGTAGGTCCCTCCATTTGTTGGAAAATTTGCCGAAAATCGCTTCAACGGTTACAAACATATATATATTATATCATACTCAAGAGCAATAATATGAATCTACATATAGTAGATGCATATTTTCCCATCTATCTCTCCAAACTTTTCTTCAGCCAAAAGAGCCTTCCTGCATAGTGATGACCAGCCCGATTCTAGCAAGAAACTCACTCTAAGTCAGCACGATACGCGCTAGATCAAGATAGGAACCCAGGTTATGAACCGTCAACTTCAAAAAATCCGCACTTTTTGCAAAAATTTGTTAAAATATTTTTTCCTTGTTATATTATATTATCGTTTGGTGGATCTACTATATTCAAAATTTGATATGAATAAGTTTTCTTGTGGCAAAAATGTTTCAATTTTGTTGATCAGTGTAATTTACTACGAGCGGATTCGCATATCGTACTTTGGTGGTGGTGATTCACACTGTTCAGGCTTTCTTTTGTGTTATTTGCTTTAAGGACATTTAAATTCAGTTTTCTTTCAATGGAAAACACTCAGTTCTTTGCTGCTCAACATAACCTCAAATATGAGTATAAATGTATTTTTTTTTTGAATCATTTTCGTTTTATTCTTTCACTGATTTATTGTTTTTCATATATTGTATATATACACATGCATATGTACTCGTATATAAGTACATATTTATGTAATATTTGCTATATTATTAGTTTACATAACTACATACATACATATGTATGCATATTTCACACGTTTTTCAAGCACTAAATAATAAATAATATGCAACAATAATTCAAAATAACGTTCGAACGAATTGAATGTAAATTTTTAACTGTTATCAACGGCCGGCGAATAAACTAAAAAACCGTGTTAGTACTCTATGGACTTAGAAAGTTGACTAATTTCGATTTCTCTAAAAAAAGGCAGAAAATATTTCTAACAATTCATTAGTTGCCCAGTTTCTAATCTCACGTTCTCTTACCTTTTACGATTATATTACATATTTATATTGTTAGTTTTTGTTTTTTTTATTGATTGCAATTCAGACATAGATATCCACATATATTATAGTATATACCTACTTAAATTTACGGTTTTTATTTATCATTTTTTTTTTTGCACGAGCGAGTTTTCTTATCAAACCCGTGAATGTGCTGGTATTTGAGTGCTTCTCACCTGTGTCTTATCACAACGAGCTAAGGAAATCATAATAATGAACTAAATATATTTTTTTTATTATGGGACGCTATTGAGCATAGCCGAGAACAGTTTCACATAAACGTCCGGACATATGTTTTGGAACAGACATACTCGTATGTAAATATTTATTTGTGCTATTTTTTTTCTCTTTATGGCTTGAGAACGAGCTCCCCATTAGAATGGTGAGTTTTAAGGGGTTTTCCCATGCTAACATTTCAAAATCGCTATTGTTTTAGTAATAGTTCACCGCCCACTCACTTGAGTCACACAAACTCTGGCGTATTCTGTTAGATAAACTGACCGGATTATATATGTACGTCGCTTGAATCTATAGATTTTGAACCTAAAATACAATAATCAAATGGCTTCTAGGATGATCTGTGTTATAATGAAACTAAAACAAGTAAGGAACACTAATTGGGGATGGACTGAACATTAGTATATGTCGTCGAGGTTATCTAATAGAAGGTTCAGGAAATGAGCTGCTTTGACATCTTCAGACCAAGCTGAGAGGGGTGTTAAATAAGTTGGACTTAGATGGCATGCAAAGAGGTGATTGGTGTTGTACGGGCACTCTTTGTGTGCAGGACCGCTGTTCGTTGGTTTAAGCTCCGGTCTGCAGAAATAGGAATTGTGTCGACTGCAATATCCACAATCCCCTTGAATCTCGCGAGGTATCTCGAGCTTTTAGACTACTAAGGGCGGTGGTTAGTTTGCGAGTGGGCCATTCACTTATAGAGTGCTTATAAAGATGTTGACTGACTCCCTGTGAATGCCACTTAGGGCCGTCTGTACAGTGCTTCAGTTGTAAAATACTGTAAAGAGTCTTTGAAGTCCAGTACTCCCTTCCTTATGTGCTAAGGTGGGGGTTCAGCTTCGACTATGTGTATTAGTATGGTCCCAACGATAGCATCCCAGCATATATTGCTTACACAGCGTAACATTAAGTTTCTTAATTAGAGTATAGATGTTTTACTATATTAATGATTCAAACTCTTCCTCCTCAGGGCGGTGTTTTGGCAAACTTCTAGCTTGTAGGTCGCCAAGCAATGCTGTTTATCAGACCAATACTAGCAATTATTAGAATTGGCTACAATTCTGCTAGAGGCGTCGTCGTTCACGACAGAGAATGTTGAATCGGGTATCTGCTCTGCCAGCTCCTATACTCTACGAACAAAGTCCAGCAAAACCAATCGATGTGCCGAGGGCGAGGTTCAGCTTCTATTAGATGCCTATTGGGGTGCTCCCTGCGGTAGCATCAAAATAAGAACTTTTTGCACAGCAAAGCATTATGCTCCTTAACTCATAGCATAGCTGTGCAAATGATGCTCCGGAGGTTTAATGTCGCAGTCCTGTAGCTTCTTCATCTGCGTCTCGTTCGTCCCCGGCGCCCAGGTCGCTGCAGCATAGGTTACGACCGGACGGCCAATTGCTTTATAAGTTGCCAGCAAAGTTTCTTTATCTTTACCCCAGGTGCTGCCGGCTAGCACTTTGAGTATTTTGTTGCTGCTCTGGAGTTTTGCGGTAATTACGGTCGTATGCGGAGTGAAGGTGCGCAGGCTGTCTAGTGTAACTCCCAATATCTTTGGGTTGTTTACAGTCACATTTAGTTTTAGCCTGTACTCCTTCGTCCAGATGGTTAAGTGGGTAGCCGAGGATTTAGTCGGTTGTGTTTTTAATTGTCGTACAGTGAAAAAGTGAGAAAGGTCAGCAAGGTGGCAGTTCACTTTCGAACAGAGATCATCAATATCCTGGCCAGACGTCACTATCGTTTCTCCTCGGAATATTACCGTAGATTGTCAACGAATTGACAGTGGCCCAGAGCTTGGTTGCCCAGGGGAGAGGTTGCAGGTCCTTGAGTGTTCCTCCCACTTTTTCCGCTTATGGTTGCTGACTACTCTACGAATCTCCGCATTTAAATCTCTGATTAGGGGATTCCCGGGATCAAAGCTTCGCAGTGTGTGGCGCCTGGATGCTAATCCCCTCGCTGCTGTCGGAAAATTTGAGCGGATTTCCGCAATTTGGCCAGCCGGGTGGCAGCGGTCACGACGACCCTGTGGTGCGGTAAGAGCACAAAAGTCGTTCTCGGTGAACTCCGTTAAGCCGGGCCAGATAGCTTTTTTGAAGTTATCAAATGTCCCGTGATCCGCGGAATCAAAGTCGGAAGGCCTGTCAATCGAGATTTGTATGGGCAAGTTGTCCGATGCTTGTGGCAGTACAGGTCGCCAGACTATACTTTTTATCAGACCAGCATTCGCAATTGTTATATCCGGGGAACTTTGGCAATTACCCATAACTCTGGTGGGGGTGTTATCGTTCATTGTGCAGAATGTCGAATCGTCTATCTGTTCTGCCAGCTCCATTCCTCTACTGTCATTTGACAGGCTAGAATGCCAAAGATCGTGATGCACGTTAAAGTCGCCCAAAACCAAACGGTTTTCACCCCTGAGTAGCGCACCTATATCAGGGGTCTATCCTACTGGGCAACTTTTAACTGGAAGAATGTATATATTAAATATTTCGAGCTTGAGATCGCCTGACCGGATAGCTATGTCAGACATTCTAGGATAGTCTCCCTGCAGTCGACGTCGCCATCGATAAGACGATACGGCACGGTGTTGTGCAGGATGAACGGTAGACCAAGGTCTGTTGAATTGTAAGAGTCGGGTCTGTCAAGGGGAACGTTCGTGATACGGGAGATGTACCTGAATGTGGGTTGTAATGGAGTAGGGGCAAGGGAAATCGGTTGAACGTATTTTTAGAGTATCAATAGAATCAGCAATTATTTCAAAATTAAGGCCACAGTTTCTGTAATACTTGCTATATAACAGAAAATTGTAATTGTTATTCCATACAAATTTTATTATAATTTCCATTGATTAATTAAATTATTAAGCTTTCAGCAAGATATACAATTTTTCAATGATAAAATAATTTTGCTTGAAAATCGACTTAACATTTCTCTTAAAATAATCTTAAGAATTTCTGTACTTTATAGTTGAACAGACTCATTAGCGCTGAATATGACTTTCGAACATTCAGTACGAGTATAAAATACTAACAACCAGAAAGTTTTAATAATTATATGCTTAAAATTAAATGTCACCCCATACAAATTATTTTAATTAAATATTTGAATTTTTCTCGATTTTCCTATATATGCGCATACGATTTTTATAAGATATTATGCCTTATTAAGATGTGTTTTAAATTTCGTTATTTCCCAGGTCGCACTGCAACTCCGAAAGCATTCGGAAAGATTTTACCCGAGCCGCCATTACGTTCAGTGAAGAACGTGCCCCTGTGAAAAACTCGTGTCGTTGCACAATTGGTAACGAATTTTAAAGCAAAAAGTGGAAAATATTTCCAATTCTTAATTGAATTTTCCTATTAACAACTGCGCGCAGTGTTTATCATATAAAATACGTGAATTTGTCGCAGTTTAAGTGGAGAAAATACGTTGTGAGAAAAGTATGAATTAATCGAATTTGATCGATTTTGGTGAAAAAAATTTCATGGTGCTCGCCATTTACCCGACCCGAAAAAATATAATCATCGTGTTTGCTTCTCGCTCGCACGAATATTTCACACGTATGGTGCGAACGAGAGGTCGGTAGTGAATACAATTTTGAAGCACATATGGCTTTTCGTATTGGCAAGAGTGTTTGTGTGTGAACGAAGAGTGGTTAGCCCAGCTACTTCGTCGTTCAATTCGAATGAAATTGTTTTTGGAAAATGAGTTTGCGTTTAGTGTGAGGTAGATGGCTGAAATTGATGTCGTGTATATAGTAGATAAGGCTACCGCGAACATGGATTGAATGTTTCGGTATAGAACGGTATCAAACGACGCGTCTCATTCCCAGTAGTATTATAAGGGTGGAGTAGTGTGTGTAACGGTCGTTGAATAGCGTGCGCGGTGCAATGGATTTTCGAAAATTCGGACAATAGTGCGAGTAGGTGAACTGTATATTTACTTTTCGGTACCGATTCGGAAAAGCTGTTGTTAAATTTAATATACTTGTGCAGAAAAGAGTTGCAAGTAGTGTGTATGTATTTTGTAGCATTTCGGTATAAGACAACGTGCTCGGTTCATTCGCGGTCGCAAATTACAGCTTGTTTTGTGTTGTCTGCTTTGGCTCTGTTCGATTTTCGGTCTGCTGAGAATGTGAGTGTGAATGCGACAACTGGCGATAGTTTAAATCTTTCCATATTTTTTCTGTCTTCTCAGGGAGCGCGAACGCTCCCGAGAATGTTGACGACGAGTAGTCTTCCGCCATTATGGCTTTCATGCCAAAACCACGCTATTCCGCAAAATTCGTGTTTTTTTTCGTGAAATAGTGTTAAAATTTGTGGTGTTAATAAGCATTTGGACAACCACAATTAATTTTTACTTATTCCAAAATTGAAGTAGTATAATAATAAATAAATATTTATATGTTTTATGTAGGGAATGTGTGTAAACGTGCTTTTCATTTTGCGTCTCTATCTTCGTTTTTCCTTCAGTTTTCGTGTTTTTTCATCGCAACGTTGTGCTGAGTTAGCGCTTATGAATTCGCCGGGTAGTTTTTGTTTTGACGAGCTCGCCGTAATGCAAATAATGGCGTCGTCATAAATTCGCTTTGCTGTCGTCGGCCAGGCAGTTTATATAGGTAAAAAGTTGCAGCAACCACTTTTGTTGTTTATGGCGGTTCTAAAAACAAGGAATTTTCGTTCATCATTTATGGAAATAAATATATGTTATATATTGAGGTCTTCATTAATTTAAATAATGCCATTATGTACATAATTAATATGCAATATGAATTAATATGCATATTAGGACTCCCGTTTGCAGTTTTTGTTTTGACATCTGCTCTTCGGAAGTTGTCATTCCAATTCGCTTAGAAAGTGAAACAAAGCGTGTGAAGAAAATAACAACAATGGTGGGCAAGATAGTTGTTATAAAAATGTTATTGTTCTAATTTCGCAGATATTCAATAGTCCAAAATTATAAAATAAAGATTGAAATAATAAATATGAAGAAAAATGAAAATTAAAATGGAGTAATAAATTTATAAGAGTAAACATATGAAGTGTGCGAAAATAGTCGGACAGAGCAAATAAAAGCGAAAAAGTAAACAACAAAAAAGCAGCATCGGCTTCTGCAAAGAAAAGAAATAGATAATTGGAAAACACGTTTTGTGTAAAAAAAAAAAAACAAAAACAAAAAATACGTGGAAGTGTGATAACATAAAAATAAGTATAAGATAACAATGTTGCAATGAAATGTGCAAAAGTCAAAGTAATTATGCCAATTCATTTGATTTCTTCGATTTCAACTTGAAAAATGTCGTCGATTCCATTGCTGCACCGCTCGTCGTTGTCGTTGCTACCACTGCAGTGCTGTAATTGCAATAATTTTCTCGCCCACATTTTGTTGTTGATATCGTCGCTGTTGTCCACGTTGAGCGGAAATAACAGGGCAATCAAGAGGATTCTCCATAACAAGAAAACTTGCCTATACGATCAGCGGCATCATACAAATAATAGCAGCACTTGCAATAGCAATCATAAAAATAGTTTTTGCTCATCACAATTAAAATCCATCATCCCAGAATTTTTTATTGGCCTAACTGATTTCTACCTGGCCAACTCAGTTCTGTCCAAAGGATCCACAAAAAGGATAGTTAGATTAAGTACATACAGAGGCATCCAAACCTCTGATACGTATACTCTAACATCCTTGAAAACTTCAGATTTGGTTGTAACCAACAAATATAGCGGACGTGGTAACACCAATTGGGAAGTTAGCAAAAGAAATTTTGCTTCATCAGCCGCACAAGGAAGACGCTTTTTTGATTGTCCACAGCCAGAGGACCAAAAAACACTTCAAGAAACAGGTGAATACTGTTGTTTTGCTGATAACAATAACAACAACTGCAGAAAGCGCTACACTCGTAACGTCGACAGCGTACTTTGCAACAATATCAATAGTGTGTGCAGCAGTCCGCGAAGTATATTGTACGTACAGTTTGATACTAACACCTGCACTAGGCAACCCAATATAACTACAGTAAGAGTAGTTGTAAAACCGAAAGTAACAGCAGCGGTTATTAAATCTGCATCCGTGGATCTCACGCACCCTTTCTTGCAAAACACCTTTACTCCAGATAACAACTGCGAAAACAGCTCAACAACCTCTCAGCATCTGAATAACACCAAGAAGCCGTTTTCGATCTCCTCTGTACAGAAGCTAAGTAGTCGCAGTTTAACGTCACTGCTGCAGGAGAAAGAGGAGTCGACGCATTCCAACAAAAAATACCGACTTATCGTCGAAGTTACACGATTTTGTGCAACAACGAAAGTCAACGTCACAATCGCGAAAGCTTCTTCATTTGCTAGTAGACGTGATAATTTACGCTTAATTTAGATTAATTCAAAATAAACAAAAGAGAACGTAGAAAGCGGAGAATAAATTTTTAAGAACAAAAACGTAACAAAAACAACGTAAGCAGAGTAAAGCAAAGAAGGCAAGTTCCGTCAGCAGCGAAATAAAAAGCAACAACTAATTTAAATCATACAACGTATCTCAACCGATCAGCTGCTATTTGACATAAAAAACTCGTCTATTTGGAAAGATAGCAGCGTTTTGTGGGAAAGAGAGTGTGAAAAGAATAAACAAACACAGCAGAATCAACAACAGAAACCACCGTTGCATCCATACAAAGCAAATTAAAAAAATACATTTACACACATCTCACCATCATCATGTCAAAATTATCATTTCGAGCGCGTGCGCTCGATCCCTCCAAACAAATGCCAATATACTTGGCGGAGGAGCTGCCAGATTTGCCTGAATACTCGGCTATTAATCGTGCGGTGCCGCAGATGCCTAGTGGCATGGAGAAGGAAGAGGAATCGGTAAGTTCACGTATTTACCTACTTGTTTTTCATGCATATGTATTATAATAACAATGAGAAGGAAAAGGGGAGTCAAAATATAATAAAAATTATAAATTTTTCAAATAACCGTAGTATAAAAAGATGTGTACAAATAAAACATGACTGAAAGTCGATTTATTTACTTTGCATGCACTTTTTTATCATATTGTTTCAATTTCGTGCAATATGATCATTAGAGTATTAGTCAGCAAATGATAAACGTGTTCAATTGATTTTGCCATCGCAATTGCGTTTTTTTGATTTAAAACCTTATTTATAAATTTAAATAATTACTGATTTTATTATTTTTTTAAGCACCTCTTAGGTTTGTTCAGACAAAAATCTTACCAATCAACACCATTTTCAGAATTTTTACTATGAATATCATTTATATTGTTTGTTTCTCTTTCCAATCTATTAATTACCAGAATTCTCATTGTTTGATTATTAGTTGCTTAACTCAAAATTTTACGCTCATTAAGGGATTGAGGGGCGAAAAAAGTAAAAGCAATGTTGAGGTTTATTTTCCAAGTATACATTTTTGTGTCGCAATTCATTTGTATGTACAGGTAACAATAAATTGCTCTGAAAAGTTAATGGGCGCTAAAAAATATATACATACTCACACATCTACAGGTGTGCATATGTAGGCATTCTGCTGTGTTGTGCAAATAAAAGATACATATGCCTGTATATACGTCAGTATAGGTGAAGTGCTTGAACAAAATTTTTGTATTTATTTTTCTCGAACGGATTTTAGCAAAAGGTGAAAACGTCACTAACCTGAAGCAACCAATTCGAAAATACATACATATATTTATATTTCGAACCAGCACTTAGCAGCATTCGATCTTTTAGTGTTATATAGATTAACGACGATTTTCCCCATAAATGGATGAACCCACAGTTTATTTTAAAAATAAAATGTAAAAATTTATTTTAAATATTATTTTTAAGACTTTGGATATGGGTCAGGGTAGAGTATTCATACGCATGAATTTTCGCATGTTTGTACACATTGCTAACCACTTAGCCTCTGCGATCGCCATTATTTTCAGTAGTTTTAACACAGTGTTAAAACCACACACTATCCTTTATCCTTGACTAGACACCAGTAGTTATACCCAAACCTTAATAGGGATAAAGGAAGACAGAACTTATTAAGTACAAATCCGGATTAACTCCGACGCGTAGAGCCGGCTATCGGGAGGGTTGCTTATAAGAGTTCAAAGCAGCGAGGAACCGCATATTGATTTGTTGCTTAGGTCTCGAAATTTCGAAAGTAACCTTATTACACGTTTTGAAGTACCTAAATTATTTACTTAAATTCAAAATTTATTATAAATTGTAATTTTTTATTCTTATTGAAATCTTTTTCAAAAAGCCGTGGGAAACAAAAATTGTTATTATTGTGAAGCTGCTATAATGGACAGCAAATATCTCTAATTGGTTTATAAATACTATATTGCTTATAGTGCTCTTCTTTTGCACAACACTGTTTGTATGTGATTTCAACCGTATAACATATTTACATATATTCAAAGTATGTATGGATATTTGTAAACGATAACAACTTTTTCGCAGAATTTTATTTGCTTACTTGAAATAAACTTTCCAGTTTTTTTTTTAATGAAATTTACATACATATCTAGATATTTACATCATCAAGATACAATACATACCCACTTATGATAAAAGTTTACCATATTTCCTATTTATTTATCTTTTTATTTACTTTTTTTTTTTTGCTAAAAAAACACAGCTACAAATTTTAAGCCAATTTTAACACAAATATTAGAAAGCGTGACCTTGAAATGTATAAGTCTTGCAGGTCATACTTGTATAAATTTCATATCTACTTAAGAAAATGTTTGCTTTTACTTTCGACATTCTAGATAAGACTCCCTTCTGGCCAAATTTGCATAATATTACATATTTATATATATAGCTCGAAACTCCATTCCATTGGCAATTATAAAATTAGTCTCTAATATTGGGAATAACACCCAGCTGAATTCAAAACGAGCAGCATTAAAACCACTGTCCATTAAATCAGAAACATACTCATCGTACCGCAACAACAGCCAAAATGACGAGAATATTAAACAGACTCGTAATGCATACGCACACATACACAAAGATACATAATAAAAAAAATTCTGACTCACTGTACCAACAACGGTAATAACACACAACAGAGTCAGTCAGTTCCACATAATGAACAAAAAAAAAAAAAAAAAATAAGAAAATTTCTTTTCAAAATTAAGAGCAAAGTTGTGGGAATATTGGTACATTGCCTGCAGCTGTAGGATTTCTTGAGCGCCGTCGTATTGCCTTTCAACAGCTAAGCAATTGTAGTCATGACTGTATACATAAGTCTGTGTGCATGTCTTACTGATGCTGTTGCTGCTGATAGCTACCTCGTATATCGTTGTTGTTGGTTGACTCCCCTCGATTCATTTTAAACGGAATGGATGGCAGTGGATTTTTTGCTATTGTTTTTTTTTTCTACATAAGTGTTTGTATGGTTTTTTTTTTTGCTTACATTTGTTTAGTTAAGGTTTCACGCACAGTGCTTTGGTAAGTAATTCTAGTCGAGTTGGTAAAATGGCCAATTCCATAGGTCTTTGGAGGATTTGCTAAGAGCAGAAAGTCGCCGTTAAGTAAATAAAAGAAAGTATCTACATATGTACATATGTATACATATTACAATTGGTTAGTATTTGTTTCCCTTTTCTTGGATGTGTTTTTCGCAAATTTTTATACATATGTACATACTTACGAATATGTATTTAAGAATTACTAAAAAAGTAATAAAAAGAGAAAAATTAAATGAAGGGATTTATTCCTTTAGGAACTGGTATTGCCATAGATATATGTATGTATGCATGTATGTTATATGTACATCGATTAAAATCTCATATAAATATTTAATTATAATTATTTTTGTTTACCGTCTAAAATAAATTGAAATTGGAATATTTTGGGATTTCAAAAAAAAAAAAAAACGGTATGGACATATGTAGTACGTACTATATGTGTACTATGTTTCATACATACAAACATATGTAAATGCTGACGTGTAAAATTGTATAAATTATTTATTTTCTTGGAAGTTTTTTTCCCGTAATTTTAGCAAACGCGTGTGTGCTTTTTTATTTTTATTTTTTTTTGCAGTGCTTAAGAAATTTTCTCGAGTACTTGTATTAAGAAATACACGTCAATGTATGCTAAAGATTAATAAAGTAGTATGTGTGTATGTTTGTTGACAGTTTCATATCAAAAACAAGTACATTTGAAGCAGTTATCCAATTGTAACGTAAAAAAGTTCAATTTTTTTTTTCTGCACAGAGGGCAAATTCAAAAAAAAAATTCCCAGTGGAGTAGTGACTTTTATGGAAAAATTAATGTAATTTCACTAGAAATTAACATTTAACTGTTAACTTATTTTCTCTGTGGGATACGTGTGCTATTGAACGGAGGGTACTGAAATAAAAATATCTTCGAGGCAGTGATTAATTTATAACCTTATCGGTAGTAGGTTTCATTTTTATATAATTTCTTTTACCGCCTTTGATTAAAATATGAACCAATGGGGAAACGTGTGAAAAAGAAAAAGTTATTTATTTTTTAAAGTGAGGAATTATAAATTATTTTTTGGGAAATGGATTTTATAGGGTATATGGTAATTAATGTATAAATAATTCTACATATTTCGTTAAAAAAAAGGTATATATGAAAATGTATGAAAAAAAATATACTTCGAATTTTGTTTAATTGAAACTTTAACCAAAATAAGCAGTAAATATACTGGCGGGATAAAACGAGTTACGAATAAAGAAATTATAGTTTGGTAGTATATACGAGTATAGAATCACTAAGTCTTCTTCCTAAGAAAGAGAAAACAAAGCATATCTTCGTAAAAACTAGGATATGTGAAAATAATCCACAAATTACTTATAAATTTAACATAGGGTATGAAAAAAATAAATATTTTTTAATTTTTATGTAGATCAGGCGAGGATCTACTTCCTCTCTGTAAATGTAATTATAAGCACTTTTAGAACCCGTACGAAACTGCAATATAATTTCATAAAAACAACTCAATATAGAATTAATTAAACACTCAAAAATCGTATGAAATGTTTTAACTTAGAAAAATGTAAGAAAATTGAGCATGAATTGAAATAAATGCTAATTGTCCGGTAGCTAGCACATTTGCTCTACTTTGTTTAGATCAAATTTTGAGGAAACCCATTTAAAAGTCTGAAATATTGATGATGTTTTTTTCTCGTTGGAATAGATGAATTAACTAAATATACCGATTTTATGTATTTGTAAGGTTTCGATATATGTATTTAATTAGCTGATTCCAAGAAAAGTAAATACAAGTTGAATAAATTGAATCTTTCGATCACTAGCACTTTCTCTTATACATATATGTTTTTGTTTATTTAGATTAATTTCTTCACGTTTAAATAACAATGAATTGTTTAAGTGTGCGTTCATTCATAAGCAGAGTATGAATTAGTAGAGTCATCAAGCGGAGGTATCAAGTATTGCTGCTGGTATAAATATGTTCGCTTGCGAAAATAATTCTTAAAGGCTTAATATATATAATGACATATCACATATTTAATGCCTTATCTACCTATGAACATCTGATAAAGTCTAACACTCATTGATAATTAATGTATATTTACGATCATATGTATATAATTCAAAATGTATGCATCATCAATATTAATGACAGCGACTTTAAATTTATAATTAATTACTGCGAAGAGAAGAGAGTGAAATAAGCTCAACTATCAACTATCAACGTATGGTACATATGTATGTACATATTTTGTCTGATTATTCATAAGTTATTTCAATTTCATTATATGTCAACCACATGGGATAGTTTGTGAGCTCTAATAACTTGTGGATCACGAAAACCATGCGTTTTAAAATTATAAAATAAAATCTTAAAAAAA